GGGGGGGGGGGGGGGGGGGGGGGGGGGGGGGGGGGGGGGGGGGGGGGGGGGGGGGGGGGGGGGGGGGGGGGGGGGGGGGGGGGGGGGGGGGGGGGGGGGGGGGGGGGGGGGGGGGGGGGGGGGGGGGGGGGGGGGACAAGATACCAAAAAGAGCTTAGAAATACATTTAGTTCCAGGAAGGTCTATCTATATTTCTCGGCCCTTAAAATAAACAGAAAAGATATGTTTTTTCCATTACTAAGTGTTAGAAATTAGGGTATCAGAATCTACAAAACATTCGGAAGAGCTCTACGACGACATTGTAATGCTGGAATAAACCTGATGCCCCTTCCCAAAAGTTCGAATGGAATAGCAGTTTATCCTTGAATGAAAGGATACTAGAAGATAGAATGAGGCAATTGGTAAATATCACATTTCTAAATTTACTGATGCTTATTTTGACACGGAAAATCATTGCCAGGCAACTCAAAAACGTACGTACATTAGTCCACGATTTCCTTGAATGAATACTAGAAGATAGAACAAGTACAATTGAATTGGTAAATTGTTATCACATTTCATTTACCAGTGCTTATTTTGACACTGAAAACCTTTGCCAAGCAATCAAATGCGTGCATCAGTCAACTATTTCCTACTTTCAATCAGTTTTGGTTAAGCAAATCAAGGAATCAATCCTTGCGGCTAATGAGGTTGTTGATGATTGTAAGAGTTGAGAGAGGGAAATGATATGCAAGCTTGATAGTAGGAAAGCTTATGAGAAGGTCAACTAGAACTTTTTAGATACTATCATAAGAGTTTGAAGTTATGGAAATAAATGGAAGAAAGGGTTTCTCGGTGGTGTTTCAAACACCAATTATGAGAGATCTAGAGGTAAGATCATTGCTTCCAAAGAGCTTAGGCAAGAGAGGCCACTTTTTGCTTTCTAGTTTGTGTTTGGGCTAACTACCTCAACTGGTTATTCAAAGAGGGTATAGATGGCTCCCATACTTTACTGATAACACCCTGTTGTTTTTCATTAGTATCAAACCAAGCATTAATTATATTGACTATATAATAGAGACCGCCCGAATTGGTAAGGGAGGTAAAATTTGGAACTTTGTTGGCCACTAACAAGCAAGACATCGAAGTTTGGAAGTGATTCCTTATTTTCACCATTCAAGATTTTTTTTTTCCTGTATTCAACGAAACTCAGAGGCAGGTATCCCTTCAAAGTTATGTCAGATTATATCATATGGAAACATAATACCTCAAAGGCTAAGGTTTTGACACGGTGTCTTTTGCTAACACTAGCAGGCATCAGTTCTTATAACAAAGTTCAAGCAAGGAATTCTAACTTCCTTCTCCCAGATTGGTGTAGCCTGGGTATGAAGGTAGATGAGACTAATGATCCGTTGATCTTTTGGAGTCCCATCAAGCTTTTAACTATTTTCAGCCTAAATATGGTATTCCCTAGGTCGCTTAACAACTTTATTTCTTTGATGATTTGTGTTCATCTCTAGGGAAGGAAGGCTGAAATGGGTTGGGCAAACACTACTAAACCGACTGGATATGATGTTTGGTCCAGGGGGAGGAGAGCAACATATTATGTTTGGATGTTTACTGCTTTTCTAATCTCTACTCGTAGTAGTGTGAACAGTCTTTTTTATAGTTACGATCTTTCTTTGACTTATGCCACCTGGACCTTTTGTACCCCCGAACATTTCGTACAGATGAGATAAAACTTTGACAGAACTGAAGTATTAATAGACTTATTAACTCTGAAGTATCATAGAATCAATATTTTCCGGTTGGAAAGGAGCCAGAGACGTTTTGAAGATAAGCTTTTGTCTCTTGATTCCTATAGTAGAAATGTACAGCTTACGGCTTCTCTTTGGGGTACAACATAGGAAATTCTTTCGTAATTACAACCTTTCTAATATTGTCAACAATTGGAAAGCGTTCTTCTAGGTTGTTTTGGGATGGGGTTCCCTCTACCCCAATCCTCTAAGTTGTATTTCCCCTTCTTTTTTGAATAAGTTTTGATTCTTATATATATATATAAAGTATCAGTATTTTGCAACTCCACTAGCACATTTCTTAAAGAAGCATCAAAGATTGAACAACACTGCAAAAGAAAAAATTTACAAGACCAGCATGGTTGACTGCCCGAAGAGAAAACCTACCTTTTCATACATCTTGATTGCAGGGGTGTTCGATGCCCTCACAAAAAGATCAACAAAATAAGCTTTATCACTGCCAGAAAGCAAAAAGCCTCTCATTAAACATAAAGCTCAAGGCAGAGTGAAAAACAATATTAAAAACTAAATTTTAAACCAGAACAAGTGTTTTTTCAAGGTTTAATTGTACCACCACAAGATATATAATCAAGTCCATCTTACATCTCGTCACTAATATCCTCAAGCAGGTTCATAAGCTTCTTAGCTAATTGTTGCCTACGATATTCCGGAGCAACAGTTACAGCAGTTACATGACCATGCCATGACTCGCCTTGCCCCTCAACTTTTCCCATGACTGCAATGGAAAATCATACAAGAATCAAAACAGCATAAAATAATGGACAACAAGATCACAAGATTTTGAATTTCGCTTCCACTGCGATATATCCATCTCGTTGCTTCTTTAATAATTTGGTGTCAAGCAAAGAGAATAAAAAATCCGTATAAGGGTGAATTGACAATTCAATGATGAGAATGAACATGATAAGTTATATAAAATTAACGGGAGTTTTAAAAATCGAATTATTCCATAATGTTTCGGCTAGAGTTGCTGTGTATGTGTGTGCCTTAGATCATTTAATAAACCAACTCCACATCTACACTCCAAACCAAAAAGAAAGTTCCAAACGCATCCTCACAGCCGGTACTCAATAATTCTTCTGTCCTAGCCATTATGCTTCTGATTAGAAATGAACAATTTAAAGAAGCCACCGGCGAAAATTTGAAGCAACGTGTGCTTCGGTTGGTCGATAGTTCAGCCTAAAACAGAGTATCTAAAAAGAAACCAATCCACGCAAGAAGAAGTAGAGAAAGAAACAAACAAATACCGATACTCACTGTATCCCATTATGCGGCTACCAGGGGCCTCGGCGACATGGAAGTAGTCAGGCCATCTAGCCAAGTAGGTCATGTAGAAGGACATGTTGAACTGAGAAAAATACAAAGAAGATTGCATCAACACTGAATCAACATCAACATTCAGAGTGCGATAAAAATGGAGAACTGTAATGATTTTGAGAATCAGAAGAAAACTGGAATTCAGACAGAGAAATTACGGTTTCAGTGAGGTGATCAAGATTGACGGAAGTGAATCGAAGAAGATCATTGCAGCAAAATCTGCGCAACGTCGTCATCGCTTTTCTCTCGCTCTGTGTGCGTCTGTCTGCTACCCGTCGTTGCCTTTCTTCTTCTTCTTCACAAGACGGGTAGTTTCTTGAAAACGGGCCAAAAGCCCATAAGAAAATGGGCCCATTTTTTGTAGGTGAAATTCCTTTCTTGCCCTCGCCTCTAAAAAGTATTAAATTTGTCGTGCATTATAGAAAAATATTATATCAATTTCAATTACAAATTTAAATCTGTTTTTAATTAATTTTTAAATGTTTTATTTTGTTATTAAATCAAACCTATTTTTTATTTTTTTTCTATAGGCAATATTTATTTATATTGTAAAATGAGTATAACTTAAGAATAATTATTCTCTATTTATTTATTTAAAAATTACTTAATTTCATTTACCAAGCTTAAATTTATTGAAAGGATTTTTACAGTTTTTTTCTGTTAAAATTATTGGATGAATTAACGAAAATTTATTAAATAATAATAATAATAATAATTTTAAAGTTTAGTTTAACGAATTTTAAATTGTTGAAATAGGATAAATTTAAGGGTAAAAAATGAATTTTAACAATTTGTTTTAATAAAATATATAAATATCAAGAAATTGATAGCTTATAAATATTAAATTAAATCTAAGGACTAAATTGTAATTTCAAACTCAAGCTAGACCGAAGTGTTCTGAATTTCAATAGAGGTTTCCCTTCCCTTTCTCCTCCCTCTTTGAAATCAGTTCTGAAAGTAAGCCCTAACAGGATTCCGGGAAGGAGAATCAGAGCAGAATCAATGGATCTCCTTAAGCAAGAGCTTCTCAAGAAACGTCAAGCCTTAGCCACCGAAACCGGTGGCAAACGATTCTTCAAGCGATCCGAGATTGAACAGAAGCAAATCCAGCAGCTACGTGAGAAAGAGAAGCGCGAATTGGAAACCAAAGCTCTCCGCCAATCCACTACCTCAGCCGCCACCGCCGAGGCCAACTCCACATCTTCCAAATCCAATTCATTAGCCTCCGCCTCCACTACTTCCTCTACCACTATTAACTCCGCCGCCACCACTTCGAAATCGCTTACGGACGAGCAGAACATCGACAACCTCGTCCTTCCCAGGCAGGAAGTAATCAGAAGGCTCCGGTTTCTGAAGCAGCCGATTACGCTGTTCGGGGAAGATGATGATACTCGGCTCGACCGTTTGAAGTATGTGCTGAAAGCGGGACTTTTCGAGGTGGATAGTGATTTGACTGAGGGGCAAACGAACGATTTTCTTCGGGATATTGCAGAGTTGAGGAAGCGGCAGAAGACGGGTATTTTGAGCGAGAGGAAGAGGCAGAAGAAGGAAGACGGCGCTGGAGAAGAGGGCGAAGGGGGTGGTGCTGACGAAGAAAGTGCCGATGGAGGGTCGAGTGGGGTCGACACTGATAAAGATTTGAAGAGAATGAAAGCGAATTTTGATGAATTATGTCAAGAAGACAAGATACTGGTATTTTTTAAGAGGTTGTTGAATGAGTGGAACCAGGAATTGGATGAAATGCCCGAAGCAGAGAAGCGGACGGCGAAAGGGAAATCTATGGTGGCGACATTCAAGCAGTGTGCTCGCTATTTGCATCCTCTGTTCAAGTTTTGTAGGAAGAAGGTACAATTTTGTCCCTGTATACTTATTCAATTTGGTGAATGTTCCATTTTCCCTTGATTCCGCGTTATGTTATCTTTTGACTTCATGGTAGATTAGAGAATAACTAGAGCTTCTTTTTCTGCCATTCCTTTCGCTCTGCTAAGTGCTCTGATGGAAAATGTTGAGGATTATTGGGAGAGGAGTCCCACATCAGCTAATTAAGGGGTTGATCATGAGTTTATAAGTAAGAAACACTATCTTTATTGGTATGAGGCCTTTTGGAGAAACCAAAAGCAAAACCACGTTATGCTCAAAGTGGACAATATCATACCACTGTGGAGATCCGTGGTTCCTAACATGGTATCAGAGCTATGTAAATAAAAACCTCAAATGTTGAACAAAGAAGTTGTGAGCTTTAAAAGTGTAGTCAAAAGTGCTCAAGTTTCGAACAATGTACTTTGTTTGAAGGCTCCAGAACAGGAGTTGAGCCTCGATTAATGGGAGGCTCTATGGTGTACTTTAGAGGATTGTTGAGGATTGTTGGGAGAGGAGTCCCATATCGGCTAATTAAGGGGTTGATCATGTGTTTATAAGTAAGGAACACTATCTTCATTGGTATGAGGTCCTTTGGGGAAACCAAAAGCAAAACTACGAGAGTTTATGCTCAAAGTGGACAATATGATACCATTGTTTCTTTAAGAGAAAAAATGTTCCCACATGAGCTTGTAGATTTCCTCTTTAGGTTGATTATCATAGGAAGCAATCTCTAACAAATTACATCCTAAGGTTTTCCTCTTTAACTATGATTATCAATCTAGCAGCGAAGAGAGTAGGTTGCTAACGTTAAGGGGGAGAACCACTTGCCACTTGAAACTCATGCGCATGTTATTCTGCAGTTCATCTGCCAATTGGCGCTTGAGGAAGAGATGTCTTTGGGATTCAACGTCTTTCATGCGTAGAAAGCACAACTTGGGGAGAGGGACCAATTTGGAGGCCCTTTGTTTTATGTCGTGATAATCTTATGAAAGAGCTCCCACTAGAAAAGCTCGACTTGTGGGATCTCGACTTGTGAGATCCCACAATGGTTGGAGAGAACGAAACATTTCTTATAAGGGCGTGGGAATCTCTTCTTAGAAGACGCATTTTAAAACCTTGAAGGGGAAGCCCAAAAGGGAAAGCCCAAAGATGACAATATCTGCTTGCGGTGGACTTGAATTGTTACTAATGGTATCAGAGCCAGACACTAAGCGATATACCAACGAGGACGCTAGGCTCTCAAGAGGGATGGATTGTGAGATCCCACATTGGTTGGAGAGAAAAACAAAACATTTCTTATAAGAGTGTGGAAACCTCTCCCAAGAAGACACATTTTAAAACCTTGAGGGGAAGCCCAAAAGGGAAAACCCAAATAGAACAATATCTGCTAGCGATGGGCTTGGGCTATTACACGACTTTCTTTGGACATATATGGAGTGACATATCATCGAATAAAGATGAGAATCCTTTGTTCAAAATATCCTTGAATAGGTAGTTGCATGAACGGACCTCCTGTAGTCAGACTGCCAAATTCATTTATTTTGGAAGAACAGTAAGTAGAACTTAGAAGTGGGAGATCAAGTTTAGGAAAGAGGCCCGTTTTGTGATTTCATCATCCAGATAAGAAAATCTAGAATCAGGATCCCAATTTCGAGTAGAGGAGTTCCAAATATCTTGGATAGAAGTGTTTCAATCTTCTTGGGAAAGCGCATTCCAAAGCTTGTAGAACTGCCATTCCAATGGAGGCTTTGACCCTCTAGTGGAGTTTAAGTTTTTTTAATTGATTTTAGGTCGTCGATGGCCTCTCGACGCGTGTAGAGAAGGAGGTACTAACAAAAAGTCACCAAATTTAGCCACCATAACTTTCCTTCATAAAACTTGTATCTTTATTATAGAATCTCAAGTAGATCTATGTTCTGCTAATGCCAAGTATCATGTTAGATTTTAATTGTTCTTTTAGATTCTTCCTGACGATATTCGGCAAGCATTGTTGGTGGTCGTTGAATGTTGCATGAAGCGAGACTATCTAGCTGCAATGGATCAATACATTAAGATGGCCATTGGAAATGCCCCCTGGCCAATTGGTGTCACTATGGTTGGTATCCACGAACGTTCAGCTCGTGAGAAGATTTACACCAACAGTGTAGCCCATATCATGAACGATGAGACGACAAGGAAATATTTGCAATCGATCAAGAGATTGATGACGTTCTGTCAACGACGCTATCCAACAATGCCATCCAAGGCAGTAGAATTTAACAGCTTGGCGAACGGTAGCGACCTGCAGTCCCTGCTAGCAGAAGAGAGAGTCTCTGGAGGAGGAGGAGGAGGCAAGCAGGGTTCTGATGAAAGGCTTCGCATCATGCCCTCCCCGGAAGATAGCTAGCTACCAAGTAAGAATATCCTCTCCTGGCTGCTACTCTTTACTCTTCTCTGCATATTTTGGTAGTCAGTCAGCAATTTCTGAGTACCTTTTGAGATCAAAGTCTGTTGTATTCGTTTAAGATAGCTACCTGGTAAAAAGATTATCGCCTGGTTACCATTGTTTATGTCTATTTGTTATGTAAAATTTGAAGTTTCAGCAGCTTAGTTTGGTAGTCAGTAAGTCGATGTCCAAGTACCGGTTCTGAAGAGACTTAAGGCTCAATGGTTAGTACACATTGGAAATAAGGACCTTCCATATTGGGTTTCTCTAGAGCCCGGGAACAACTTCTTCTTAATTAAGGCTGTAGGCCCAATGGTTAGTTCATATTGTTAGAAACGACCTTCCACGTTGGACTTCTCTAGAGCCTTTGAATAGCCTCTCCTTAATCGAGGCTGGACATTTTCGAGGTTCACATGGATTCTATTGACATGACCGAAACTAATATAGAGATATGATTCTTTCTATACCATCAAAGGACTGTACCTTACAAAGGCGGTATGGTTTTTTTTTAATTTTTTTTATATATTTAAATTTTTTAAAATAATTGTGAAACCAATTAAAAGATTTAAAATAAATTTCTTTTCTAGAAATATCAATCTTTAAATATAAATAATTAAAATTATATTGGAAATATCAATAATTAAAATTATATTTATTTTTAAATTTAAAAAATATGTGTGGTCTAATATTATAATAATTTAATGGGTAATATTATAATATACTTGATTTTTTTGATCCATAAATATGTTATAATAATAATAAAAAAAAGTAATTTAAGAAAAATAAAACAAATTAAAAGTACATTCAACAACTAAAGCTGACGTGGTGGCGCCAAACCTAATTATATAAAGATCTCTATTTTGTACTTTCGAAACAACAAAAAATAGGGTGTGATGTCATGTTCTAATTTTTAAAGAATTTTCTTTTTAAAATATTAATAATTTTTTCTTGTCCCCAAAACAAAAAAAATCTTAATATTAAAATAAAATAAAATAAAGTTGAGAG